CCCCCCCGCGCCACAGCCACCTACTCTAACTCCCCTCGACGTCCGACTCTTCGTCCGGCCCGTGGGCTCTGCACCGTCGCTCTGCCGTGGACTGAATCTGTCTTACGCCACGACGTGACACCGCTCACGCTGTAGGACACAAAGGATTAGACCAACAGTCCTGTCTCGCACACGCACACGCACGTTTGCTGAAACGCCACAGCATGAACGTACGCACTAAACGAGTGCCGGCCCCTCGGGCTCAGTTTGATTGAGCATTTAACTGGATTATTGCTGCTTATTAGCTGTTAATGTGGTGGCAGAGGGAGTCGAGGGCACGGCTGCGTTTGGATGCTCGGCTCAGCCTCTCCAGGCTTTCACAGTCGGCGTGACTGAGCTGCGGAGACGACGCCCGACCAACTGACTTCAATTATTCGCCCCTTATTATCGAGTCAAGTCATGTTTCGTTTTAAATGACTCACAGTCGATTCATTATGTTCCTCGCTGGTCCTACCTGTGGACTTTCTCTTGATTCAGGGCATCACAAAATCATTCAAGTCCACGATGACGAGTTTCCAGGTTTGTTGTCTAAACGTGCTGCTCTCTGTTTCCCCCCCTCAGAGAGGACGTGCCGCCTCCCAAGAGTCGCGCTTCAACCGCTCGAAGCTTCACCGTGGCCAGCCAGCGCTCCTCACTGGGCTCCATGTCGCCTTCCAACCTGCACGAGTACGCCCTGAAGCCTCAGTACGACAAGATCCCCTCGTCAGAGGAGTACGACAGGCCTCCGAGCCAGGCTCCGGCGCCGCCGCCCTCGGCCGGCAGGATGGCCGGCTACAACCTGAGTCGCATGGGGGGCATCCCTGTCATGGTTCCTGCCCAGACGAGGGACGGTTCGATCGTCTAGCAGATCGTCTTCACGGGAACGGACTGTGCAAAGACGGGATTGAACGGAAGGAAGTGGGACAAAAGCTGGGACGGATGCACTCGCCTGATTTTGAGCTCTTTATTATTTACATACGGGGATATTCTCTGCGTACGGAGACCCGGCTCTGCTGTGGTGCTGAGGTGTACGCAACACAGTAAATGAAGTTTTTATCAAATGCAAAAACAAACAAAAAACTTTTATGAATTTTGTCTGGACGTAAAGTTAGCGTGGGTATAAAGCAGAGCGGCGAAGTAAATAAATATCTATTGTATATATGCATGTTTTTTTGTTTAGTTTCTGTTTCCTGTCTGATTTTAAACATACGTGGCCCCTGCTGTAGAGACGTGCTGTATGTTTAAAACACATCCAGGCCCCTGGATGGCCTGCTGTACAGCTGTATGCATGCATGTATAAGATTACAGCTGTGTGTGTGAGCGTGTGTGTGTAAGGCAGTATAAGTTTCTTTCATTTACTTTCTTTAAAATACTAAATAATTTGATCCATCTTCACTCCTGATGATGAGACTTCAGCGTAAAACCTCCGAGACGCTCGTCACAGATCTGCTTTAATCCCTGCACCGAGTGCACCAACTGCTTATGTGGGTCAGCCGTTTTCTTTCCGACGCTTCTTCTGTTGTTTGAATTGTCCACTGTGGGGTTGGCTGGGGATTTGAGGGTGGACGGGATTGGCTGGCAGCGAGGGGGAGGTTCAGCCGAGCAGATCTTGCGATTGGGTGTGTTATTGCTTCTTGAGCGAGCTTGAAAAGGAGCAGTGTCCATCCCCCAACTCTTCTCCAGAAAACTTTGAGGTGTAGAGAAGTAACGGAGGCCGCTGGACAACAAGGTTCACTGAGCACTCGGCGCTGATTATGTTTGACTGTCCGGCGTTTAACCACCTGAAGGACGTGTAGGCGCACCGAACAGTTAAACGCCAAGTTTGAATTCATTGGTAGGAGCTCAGCCCCCCTCAGAGTTGCCACGTATGCAATCCTCTGTATCTGAGGTGCATTACAAGGAGCCTGTATCTTAATTAACCTTCTCTGTGTGGTTAATGTGAAACCTTTTGTGGCTTAATTAAGATGTTTTTTAATGATGTAAAGCAGGAGGAAGACAGTTCCCACACAGAGAAACAAACGTTACAACCAGTCCAAGTTTATCTTGCTCTCAGATCCTGTGAACGTTGGTGCAGTCGGTCGCTTATTTAATTCCCGTTCTTCCACTGTTTGGAAGACCAAAAATCTCTTCTTCTATTTTCTAAGAAAAATAAAGGCAGTAATTTAGCAGGAAAAGTGTTTTTCACTCTGACGCCTTATCGTGCTCCTCGTTTTAGCCTTACACACTTCTCCTCCGTTCACTTCCTCACAGCTCAGTTGTGATGACTTCTATCGTGCCTTGTTTTCCCAGTCGAGTTGCGTTGTAGCACGTCTGCCGCTGGTACGCCGCACCGTGTGCAGTAACATCGCCCCGCGTGGCCGCCAGTGCGACGACATCAGAAGAACAATAATCGATACGCAGCCTGTTTTCTACCTTCTGTTGTCCCACTTACCTCATACGAGTTTTCCCACGGCTTGCAAAACCTTTACGACTGTCTTAAACCTTTATTTTTTTATTCCAAAAACATGATTTTGTTCTTTATGTTTCTTTAAACTTCCTTTTAAACCTCAGTAATTGATGTGCTTTTTAAGAAAAGAGAAAAACAGCTGAATGGCTCTGGCTGTACGTATAAATATTCTGTCAAAGTAACCCTATCTAATCGCAGCAAAACGAAAG